CACATACCTCTGTCTGATGACATCATATCGTACTACCCTTTGGCTACCACCAATGAGTACTCCCACCTAATAAATATATAGATAGAAAACAGATGAGGCACAATAGTCCTCTCATTATAACAAGATGATGAGTAATCTTTATTACCTTTGGAACGAGGACATCCATGGCAGCAACTGTCTACTCATCATCGTTAAGTCTCATGTAAAAAGCTTTGATTTCTTTCGGGTAGTTATAAACAATTATTGGCTTTTGATCATACTCAACCTCTGTCAAGTATCTATAGTAATTGCAAGACAAGTTTGGTTAGCAACTAACCATTTCTTGCAAGTGTTTCAAGTTGGGGAATTGTTTTTATAAGACAAACCTTTCATGCTCTGAGGCCAAGTCCATTTTCCTCTCCACTTTGTTATCAAAAACAACCTTTCCTTCAGCTACAGCTTTCTCAAGTACCTCTATTGCTTCAGTGTATGTTACACGCTTAAACGAGGTTTCGGCAACCATTTTTAGCCTTTTCGTGCATCCCCCATCAACATTCTTATCCATAAAATCCATGTCATCGGAACAATTCTTGATCAACCAGTTGCACATGTATTTCACATACGCCTCTGCACAGTTCATGTCGTCCTACACAAATTTCAAAGAAGGAGGTTTCTAAGATACAATATTACCATAAAGAAGAAACCAAAGAATATTATCTATGTTTATTACATGTATATCTGCAAAAGCTATTTCAGGCTCAACCATCCAGAATTCAGCTAAATGCCTTGAAGTGTGAGAGTTCTCTGCTCGGAAAGTCGGGCCAAATGTATACACGCTGCTAAGAGCGCAAGCATAGGTCTCCACTTGTAACTGACCAGAACCGTCAAGAAAGCTTGACGGCCAAAGAAATCATCCGAATAATCAATTTTTCCATCTTTTTTAGGTAATCCAGGCTTAAGCCTTGACCTCTCTTCAACATGAGCTAAACACGCCTTTGCTATAGTAAGTTGAGCAACGGAAGCAGTGATCTCTTCCTTGCTTGCCTTGGCAGCTTTCAGTCGCGACACAGCTTCACCTCTCTCCTTGACAATAAGTCTCTCCGCTTCAACATCAGCCTCAGTGGGTGGAGGGTTATCAATGAGATCCTGCTCAACCCTCTCAGTGTGATTGATCAAGGTTGTTACTTGGAACATTTCACCAGCTCCTTCACAATCACTTGTTGTGATGATAGGAGTGTGAATGTAAAGGAAACCATGTTCTTGAAAAAAACTGTGGGTCGCAAAAGCAAGCGCATTACGGATTCTTGCCACTGCTGAGATCTGAAATCATAGCAAATATATGACCAATATAATTAGTTAAGTGAGCCTATGAAACGAAGAAAACATCTTCAAAAATCAACTTTTCAATGATTCAATCAAACAGAGAAACATTAAAAACAAGTTTCAATCAAGAAATAAGAAGTGTTTACCAAGTTAGTCCTGGAACGAAGATGAAGCAAATCTCTGAGAAACTCAGGAGTCAACTTAGTCTTAGGAAGCGGATACTTAGTCGGATCAACAGTTCCCACATCAATCACACTCTCAACGTTAAGCTCGATACTCTGTTTCAAACCTTTACCTTCAGGAGGAATCTTCAAAACTCCATCAACAGTAACACAAGTTCCAGTCGCAACTAACCTAGAGAGATCATAAAGAGAAGAATCAACCATAACCTGAAGATTCGCTGGACAAGATCCATCGTTAACCTCAAGGAAAGCAAATTTCCCTTTCCCTTGTTGTCTTCCGGTTTTGACCCAACCGCCGATTCTAACCTTTTGACCGGCAAGTTTAGCTCCGCCGCTCAAAATCGATCGAATCAAAACCCGGTCGGAGAATTGCGCTTTCTGCATGATAAAGGAAACCGAGTACTGTGTTTATTGATAGAGATAAATGGATACAACGTTCGCAAGTAACGCAGCACCACTTCCCATCAGCAAGAGTTCATGATGAAACTCCGGCGACGATGAGGAACAATTCTCAGAGAGAATCCAAAAGGAACAATAAACAACAAATCCAGAATTTTCTTATTATTCTCTGCAAATGATTTTCATTTGCTATATATCTCTGCTTCTCGATTCTTCCTCTAACAACTTCCATCAACCAATCTTCTCTTGCCACGTCTCATAGCTACTGTCTCCACTCATCTACTGCCACGTGTCTCTATCATATATCAATGCCTTGTTTACTATATCAAATCTCCCCCATTCGAGAAACCTTGACCTCAAGGTTTTGAAAAATGATAATACTTCATTGAATTGACAAGAACTCCCATGGAGCTTGACTTTCAGTATCGTTATCCACATATGCATTCTCCCACGTGATTAAGACCATTGTGGCTGCTCGACTTTGCCGCTAAACCATTTTATGCTCCAAAATGTATTATGGTTCCCTAAGCAACACGTTATAGACAACCAAAGAAGTTGAGTGGATATGTGAACGTTGCCCTCAAGAAGAAGAAGCTATCCTGAAACCCTTTTTAACTCCCAAAAAGAAGAATCTCACTCTCATCCACATTCGACTATTTAACCAGAACCACAATTTCATTGTAGCTTCAGCTTGAACGAGAAATTCCTGAAAAACTGAACCTCCGGGATCCCAAACTCGGTTGTTAACGTCCCATTTCTTAACTTCAATTTGCAGTTTGTAGTCCTTTGAGCTGGTTTTGAATTTAAACATCCAGTTCTTCTTACTCTGCAACCTAAGAAGCGTTGTTTCGAACAAGTTGTGATTAATACACTGAGAGTATGAGATTGCTGTTTGTCTCAAAACAAAAGCCACCGTCACATGTGATCCAAGCATCTCTTCCATTCCTGTTTCCAAGACTACAATCGATGGTGACATTTCTCTATCAACAATATGTGTCTCCATCTTCACTTCATTTACTTTCACAGAATCTGGTTCTTCTTTTATCAATTCTTCCTCACTAGATGAACTATCTGTGATACCTTTCATTAGAACCAACGCTTGAAAACGATCGAAGCAGCCTTTCACATCCTTTATTATTTTTACACATCTCGCTTCCCTCTTGATTTGACGAAGCTATATCATCTGCCTTTAATTCGAATCCACTGGCAGTCCATGCTGGACTATCCTTCCCCTTCAACAACAACAAATCACTAGATGTCTCAACCATTCTCATTTGTTGAGAAACAACCCTTCTCATATGCTTGGAACATGTAAGTGCCTGCAGTTTCTTGTCGTCCTTTTTATACTTAAACATCCCTGATTTAGGAGATAAACGCCGCTTCCTCCTTTGCTGGAATCTGTGGCTTCTAATGAACCTATTGTCGAACAGTTTGTAGGAATCAAAGTGCAGCTTACCATCGCTTGAGTTGCTGGTTTGAATGTCCTTTGATTTATCAGTAAAGAACCAAGTTCCTTCCAGCCAATCTGTAGCTGTTGTCTGGTCTCTCTCTCTCAAATCCTGAAACGGATTATTTTTCTTGAGCTCTTGAATCCATGGTTCTCCTTGTATTAATTCTCTTGGTTGTGATGTTGCTTTGAACTTGAACCTCCACGACTTGTGAAACGTTTTCTTGTGTCCCTTTGATAAAACTTCTCTTCTTGTTGGAATTGTATCAAACACTTGGCGTGCACCTCTCGTAGTAATTCCAAGATCAAATAGCGACTGATGTTTTAGAGGTGAACACACATGCTGAACAAAACTAGGTTCCAGAACAGAATCCATGGAATGATTCTCGTCTTGTTCTTGAATCAATTCATTATGTTCAATCAATGAATCTGTTTCACACGCTTCCACAGCATCCAAAAATTTATCATCATCACTCGCCACCTCAACATCAATTTCTACCCCGTCTTTCGCAACCTCATTCTCTACCAAGTCTGAATCAATAAGGAATCGATCTTGATCTTCATCATAATCGGTTTCACCAGTCTCTAACTCACAGCCATATGAATTCGACAGCCACATATCACTCGATATCTCAACCCCAATTTCTTCAGCATTAGAGAGATGATCTTCACTATCAATCATGAGAATACCTGAGTTCTTGTGTTGTAGATGATGATTCGGAGTTTCTGGCTCTTTGCAAAACACACATAAACCCTTCAACCTTCTCTCGTCAATCTCTTCACACGAGATTCTCCGCTGAACCTTGTATTTGAGATTAGACAACAATGATGAAGCGTTCAGTGCATCTGGAGTAACGTTGACCCCATAGTTTGGTTTAGGCTCCGGACGATTGAAATCCGGTGACTCTGAAAGGTGCGGCGAGGCTGGCCGAGCATTGACTTGCAGATTCTCCTCCTCCGCGTTCCTTGATCGCAACAACAAGAGCAGAGCATGAATTCATTCCCCGATCTTCGCATTCTGGTGCGCGATTGTCTCTTCCAATTTATCTATTCCCGATCCAAAAGTTTTGTCAACTTCACGAACCATTGCTTCTGCAAACAAGCTTTTAGATCTCGTATCTGCCATGAATACCGAGAATCGTCTTCGCTCTGATACCAATGATAAAGGAAACCGAGTACTGTGTTTATTGATAGAGATAAATGGATACAACGTTCGCAAGTAACGCAGCACCACTTCCCATCAGCAAGAGTTCATGATGAAACTCCGGCGACGATGAGGAACAATTCTCAGAGAGAATCCAAAAGGAACAATAAACAACAAATCCAGAATTTTCTTATTATTCTCTGCAAATGATTTTCATTTGCTATATATCTCTGCTTCTCGATTCTTCCTCTAACAACTTCCATCAACCAATCTTCTCTTGCCACGTCTCATAGCTACTGTCTCCACTCATCTACTGCCACGTGTCTCTATCATATATCAATGCCTTGTTTACTATATCACTGCACCGTGGATCCATCGTTATCCAAGGTATCGGCGGCTGAGTGATTCTCTGGAGGTACAATCTCACCAGCCATTGTTTTTGATCTTCGGAATCTGAAGAACTGAATTTTGTTATAAAACCCTAAATGAGGAGAGATTGTGAGTTTATTTGGCTTGTCTTGTACTCTTGTAATGTGACCGTTGGATCTTTCGTCTATACATCGTTGGATTTTGGGGATTCTGTAGGGGTAAAATTGGAAATTTATATACCAGAGATTCCAATGAATCCTTTGTTTCGAATCTTAATTAATTAATTATAAGTTTTAGGAGTATCAATGTTTCTAGGGTTGTGCAAGTATTCAAGCATGCTAGAGTAATTTTAGGGTTTTGCCAAACAAGTCAAAGCTCACCGCTCTCACACAACAACCAAATTCGCTAAAGGTCATCGCCATGTTTTTCTCTTGCTCTCCCTCTCTTCCCATTATGATGACGAAATCATAGAAAAGAACTTATTGAGGATATATGAACTGGTTAACTTTGGTTAACTTCGGTTTACTGATCTTGGTTTAATGCTACATTTAATCTTATGTATATAAGTTTAATTAGATTCTCATTTTCAGTTTAAGTTGTTGTAAAAATATTTTCACCTCAAATAATAAAGTTTGTTAGCTTCTTCACTCTCTCTCACTCTCTCTTTCCGATCTTGAACGTCCGGTATACCAAAATTTATTATGGTATCCGAGCATAATAAGGAGAATCCGCCTTCGTTGTGTTCAACGGAAGAGAGCTTTATCTTCTCTTCTTCGTTTTCTTGTTACTTCGTTTGATTTCATCGATTCACGATTTACGATTTATGTTTTTCCGATCACCGGAATTTTCTTTCCGTTCTGTTTCCTTCGTTTCTTTCAATTGACTGAAAAACGAAATATCAAACGGGAGAAAATAATAACGAATCCTTTACAATAAAATTTTAAAAGACACTTTTTGCGTCTTCCGGGATTTCTCAAAACCCTATTGTTGTGTTTGTGTCTAAACTCTGAAGATCGCCTTATGCAAAGCAAAGTCATGAAATGCGTTAGATCAATTTGAAGTCGTGTTTTTTTCTTAGATCATGTTTTGTTCTGCACAGGTAAACATAATAGATCAATTTTGAAGTCATGTTTTAATACTTTACAATACACCAAATTCTCAAGTTGGCTACCTAAACATCAAAACTTATTAGTTTCTATGAGTAAATTAATATACTATGAGTAAAATACACCTTGATTAATATACTACGAGTAAAATTTCTATGTCGTACCTTTTTTCTTTGAAATTGTTTACAAAAAACTTAATGTGAAAACTATTTAAAAGGTTAAGGTGTTATCTATATTTGGCGTGTGATTCAATTTTATTCGAAGAATTAAACTCAAGAGGTTTGGATGAGTAGATGTCATGTACGATAAAACAAAATCTTTCAATTCATGCTTGGTACCAAATCTCTCTGCTAATTTTGTAATAAAAATCAATAAGTTTTAACGTATGACACAATTCAGTAACACATATATTTAAGAGAAATTGTTAAAAATGCCCCTTTTTCAATACCCCTTTTCAAAAATGCCCCTTTTGAGAGTCCATTTTTAAGTTTGCCCTCTTTTAATTTTTAATGACCATTTTACCCTTATTTGAAACAAAATTAGGTCCACAAAATACAAAATATTTTTTGGCGGGAAAAGTGATCCCGCAATTTTCCCGCCAAAACACTTGTTAAAACCTTTTAAAATACATTGTAAAACGTTTTAAAATACATTGTAAAACCTTATAAATACCCTGTAAAAACCCTTTAAAATACCTTGTAAATTTTTCCCGCCAAAAATTTTCCCGCCAAAAATTTAACGCCAAAAAATTTGCGGAATCACTTTTCCCGCAAAAAAAATTTTTTGGCGGGAAAATTTTTTGGCGGGAAAAAATTTTACGGGAAAAATTTACAAGGTATTTTAAAGGTTTTACAAATTTTTACAAGTGTTTTGGCGGGAAAAATTGGGGGATCACTTTTCCCGCCAAAAAATATTTTGTATTTTGTGGACCTAATTTTCTTATATTTCCTTATATATTTATGATATCTTTTATTAAAAGAAGGGTAATTTAGTCATTTTGTACATAAAAGGGGTATTTTTAAAAATGGACATCCAAAGGGGGCATTTTTGAAAAGGGGTATTGAAAAATGGGCATTTTTGTGAGTCTCCCTATATTTAAAGTGAAAACCTTTTATTTTTTTTTAAGTTGACTTCATTATCAATATTTTGACGTGTGATATAATAGTAGTATTCGAAGAACTTAACTACAAAAACGTGTGTGACTGTCAATTTCATGCTTGGTATTTCAACAATCTCTATGCTAATTGGCCCATAATTATAGTAAGTTTGTGGAACTAACATTTCTCCATTTAGAAATAAAGTAAAGATGTAGGTGTTTTACGACTCAAGTGATCAGCCAGTCACTCACAAGTCACAACCTTAGTAACAAACTCTGAGATTTTATTAGAATTATAAATATATCACATCTGTTTGTTTCGAAATTTGAACAACATAAATAATTAATTAGTACATTTTAAAAAATATTTCGTATATTCAAATTGATTTTGTGGATTGACAACTTGATGTGAACTAAAGTTATCTGTCTTTGTTAATTAGTCATAGAAATTAGTAAGTGTTGACGTGTTTATACCTTGAAATTGTGTACAAAAAACAATAAAGTGAAAACCTTTTCAAAAAAATGTTAACTTGTTATTTATATTTTTGACGTGTGATTCTGTTGTAATGGAAGAGCTAAACTACGTACTAAAGCAAATATGTCAGTTTCATGCTTGGTATCCAATGATCTCAATGCTAATTGGCCAATAATTATAGTAAGTTTTTAACGTGTGTTGAGGTGAAATTTCTTCTTTCGGTTTTTTAGATGTACGCGTTTTACGACTCAACAAGTTAAGCTAAAGTGATCCACTTACAATCGTTGGTTACAACCAAAGGTCTTAGATTTTCTTATAAATATCACATGTGTCTTTAGTAGGTCTCTATCTCTCAAAACACAAAATATTCACTAGAGAAGAACAAGAATGGAGAATCCAAATTTCGGTACACTTCCTGAAGATCTACAAAAGGAGATTCTGTTACGGTTGCCTCTAAAATCCTTGGGTGTATGCATCGGCGTCTCAAAGCAATGGAGATCTTTAATCCGCTCCCAAGAATTCAGAGATCTTTACTCGAGCCGATGGAAGACGCCACACGATCTTCGCCAAGCGCTAATTTATCTGCTACTCTGGTAGTCTACCATGATTAAATCTTCAAACGTGAGGTCTGAAGAGTTTAGTGTCATTGTTCGTCTCATATATTTCTATTGTCCGTTAATAATCTTTATTTATGCTAAATAATATATATATATATATATATATATATATATATATATATATATAATGTTGTCTCTCGAGTATGTTATTGGGATTATTCGAATCCATTTCTATTATAGTACGTTAATCTTTGTTTATGGTATATAAATAATAATGTTCCATCAATTCAAATGTAACTTTATAATAACGTAATAGTTCGGTAGAGTTGAGGAAACATTTTTTCTCTTAGTAGCCAAAATTGAACTTAGAATAAATGATTTTCTCAGCCTGAGTTCTTAAGATTTGAGGTATATAAAAAGGATGGGAAATTGATAAAGGAGAGGAGAGATAGTGTAGTTGCCAATTGCTGCAAATTGATGCTCTTACTTAGAACTGTCAAATGGTCATCCGACCATGGGCTAAGCCCAGTCCATAATAGTATGGACGATCCGTGGTCAGCCCATAAATAAAATGGGTCATCTGGTCTAAAGACCAATTTTGTCCATGGATAAGAGTCTTACTGGTTAAAGTTGCAACCTGAATTTTAAGTTACCGAACTATGCAAACAAAGAGTCTTCTGACTCTTCTCCCAAGTCTCATTTCATTATCCGATTTCAAATCCTAATGCGATCAATATTAATAAATACTAAATACACATCTTAGGTACCAAAACTTAAGCTTCGCTGAGTTTTATCCTCAACAACAACAACAACTACTACTACTACTACTACTAGGTAGTGGGAACACAGAAATAAAAATCTCTTTAGAAAGCATCCTCGTGATAAAGAATGAAGGCCCTTGTGTAATTCCCAGTTCCAATAAAAAGTTTCAATGTTTAGTGAAACAACACAACTAACAAGACGAAGCCCTAATCCAAATCTTGCACAGCATCACCGTAGCCTTTGTCGTTTGATTTGTGGGCTTCTTTGTTTTCAGGCTCATTGTCATGTTTGCTTCATTAAACCCATTCTGTTGAAACGCAGTCGTTTCTATTGTCTGACACGCTGTCGTTTCTGTTCTCTGTTTTGTCTCTCTTCTCACCCTTGCTTTTCACCGGAGACGATGCCTCTTGCTTCCTGTTTGCCGGAGACGATGTTAATTTAGTAATAAAAAACAATAATTTTTGATGTATGACACAATTTTTCATCCAATTACACGTAAGTAAGGTGAAAACCTTTTCTTAAAAAAGGTTAACTTCATTATCAATATTTTGACGTGTGATATAATAGTTGTATTCGAAGAACTAAACTACAAAAACGTGTGCGATGAAAGAAACTCTGTCAATTTCATGCTTGGTATTTCAATAATCTCTATGCTAATTGACCAATAATTATAGTAGGTTTTTAATTAACGTGTGGAACTAACATTTCTCCATTTGGAAATATAAAGTAAAGATGTACGTGTTTACGACTCAAGTGATCACCCACTCACTCACAAAGTCACAAGTCACAACGTTGGTAACAAACTCTCAGATTCTATTATAAATATCACATATGTGTGTTTCGAAATTTGAACAACATAAAATAATTAGTGTATATATTAAAAAAATATTTCGTATATTTAAATTGATTTTGTGCATTGACGATCGAGTAGTACTTGACGTTCTGAACTAAAGTTGTTATGCGTATCTCTCTCTGGAAATTAGTCATAGAAAGTTTTGACGTGTTTTTTTTTTTTTTTTTGGTCAAACTGAATGCATTAGAATTAAAATAGGTCTGTGGTTACAACTCCAGAAGTGGAGCAAGATCCTAGAGAAGCTAGAGCAGCTGTTGCAAGTGAGTCAGCTATGGTATTAGCTGCTCGAGGAACAAAGGTAAAAGAAACTGAATTAAACAGGGAGGCTAGGGATCTAATGTCATGAAGAAGACCCACAAGTTCATTGACGACTTCATGAAGCATCGTTTTCGGGCTTTAGAGAGTCGGAGATAATGAAGCATCTCATGAGTGATAAGGACGTTATCCGTTATTGCGCGAGTTTTGACGTGTTTATGCCGTGAAATTGTGTACAAAAAACAATAAAGTGAAAACCTTTTCAAAAAAATGTTAACTTGTTATCTATATTTTGACGTGTGATTCTGTTGTAATGGAAGAGCTAAACTAC